AATTGCTGCTATGTTTATGAATTTAAATTGTTTGTTTATTTCAATATTTGAGGCTTTGAGATTAATTTCAGTTCAGTTCACTGAATTTTCCATGTGCAATTATAAAATAAAATGCTTTAATTAGTAGTATAACATATTCATTATTTTTTAAAAAAACATAACAAAGAAACCCCACAAAACAAATATTAATTTTTTAAAAATGAAAATATTCTGATTTCATAGAGATCTTCTGTTTTCAGAAACAGAAGGTTGTTAGAAAGGTTGAAGTTCAGACAAATCCAGTTATACTGAACATTTTCTTTTGGTGATGTTAATGATACCTAATTGTCATCAGTGTGGGGATGGTAACATTACTCAAGTTAAACATTTTGACTTAATTTTTGCATCAATACATATTATATTACTTTATATTTAGAGAAAGGTTTAGAAACCAAACTAGTAAGTCAATACCTATATATTATATTTGAGTATTTTACACATTTTGCTTTTGTATTTTAAAAAAATTTGTGAACTATATTTAAAGATTTCTTTGTTCTTACATTTTTAATAGATTTTATTTTTAAAATCAGTTTTAGGCTCACAGCAAAATTGTGAGGAAGACACAGAGATTTTCTGTCTACTTGCTGCCTCCACACATTTGTAACCATTCCCATTATCAACATTCCTCCCCTGAATGGTAACATTTGCTAACTGATAAACTTTGGTGCTTCATCGCCACCCAAAGTCTGCAGTTTGCATTAGGGTTCATTCTTGTACATTCCATGACTTTTGCCAAGTCTAATGACATTTGCTCACTGTTACAGGGTCATGCAGAGTAGTTTGAACCTCTGTTTGTCCTATGTGTTGTTTATTCATCCCTCTTTCTCCCAACTCCTGGAAACCACTGATCTTTTTAATATCTTCATAGTTCTGCCTTTTCCAGAATGGCACATAGTTGAGAATCAAATGATGTTATCTCCTTTTTCAGATGAGCTTCTTTTTCTTAGTATTATGCGTTTAAGTTTCCTCCATGTCTTTTTATTGCTTGATAGCTCATTTCTTTTTAGAGCTGATTAATATTTCTTTGTCTGATTGTACTGCAATTTATTTATCCATTCATCTACTGCAGAACACCTTTGTTGCTTCTGTTTTCTTATTTTTTTTGCATTTACCATAATTCTTCAAATTCCATTGAAAGCCATACAAAATTCTCAGAATTTTCATTCTGCATTAGTGTATATATATATGGCAACAAACTTTTTGGAATATTTGGATAATTTGAAAAACAAATGAACAAAACCTTCCCTCAGAATTGTAGAGTTAATAATTATTTTATTTTCAAACAATTACTTATTTAAAGATTAATTTTTGAATATTTATTAGTAAACGTTATATAAATGTTCTTAATCTTTATATTTAGAAAGTGATAATTAAATTAGCAGTTGAAATTTTCTGGAAGAAATCTGTTGCTGTGTATCACTTCTTGGAGAGTGCTAATTAGGGCATGCATGTCTTATGTGATATCTTATATCTGAGGATCCTGGTCATAGTTTGTCCAACTATCCTCATGTCAGGGCAAACTGTTTTCAAAAGCGCTCAGTAAAAGCAGCGCTAATGTTTCGATTTTACTCTTCAATAAATGCTAAAAGAACGCTTTCATTTTTTGTTTATATAATTTCACATCCAGATATTTCTTATTTCTGCCAGATGTTAGAATGATTTTATTATAGAAAATAAAAATAATATATTGAGTATTAATGTCCATTCATTGAATTATAAATATGTTAGATTAACAAGGAAAAATGATGTGTGAACTTTCAAAAAAGAGCTGACAGAGTGTGGGAGTTATTTGAATAAATAAGTGAACAATCTCGAGTTTAACACTTTGTAATATGGAAGCTCAGAGCTGGTCATTAAATATGACTGAGCACTTTGAAAGTTGAATAATTATTACTGGGTGCTACATGGTTTCAGATTCTTTCAGCTTATATTTTAGTCAGAATGATGACTTACATTCTGTGTTTCTTGTTAATGTCCTACAGAATTTCTTTGTGTGATAACTGCGTTTAATTCGACATATCCAATTACTCCCTGGAGATTCAAATTGTCTTGTATGCCAGCAAATGCAACTGGTGATGACTTCCTTTTGCCTGCCGGAACCTCAAAGAATTCTTCACGTTTGGATGGACATTATGAGGCAGTTGTTGAAGCTAAATTTAATTCAAGTGTTGCCTACATTTCTAACTTATCCCAAACAAAATTCCACTGTTGTTTTTGGAATGAACAAGAAAAGAACTGCTCTGTATCTGAGGATGGCACCGATGGGAGAACATTTGTTTCAGCAGTAAATTCCTTAGTTTTTCAACATCTAAGTAAGTATTTTAATTTTCCAGACATTAACTGTTAGGTTTTAACTGTATCAAACAGAGTGTATTAATTCTCTAAAACCTGTAGGAAATAGATGTCTTAGGATATTGTTCTTAACATATACTATTGCTCTTGTTATTAATAAAATTAGGATTTACCATATGACTGAGCTAATATATATGCTCCAAATTATTTTATATCCCATGAAAATGCAATAAGCGAACTCTTTTTTTACCTTTAAGAACATTCCTGTAGTCTTCTAAATTTGCTTTGATTTAACAAAATCATTGTATTTTTTGTTAATTAGATAAAATATCAATTTATTAATGACAATGTTGAATGAGTTAAGTTTTAAATAGTTTAAAAATTCCAATGATTTGTTCAGGTAAGGCATCTTTCTAAAACCACATACATTTT